CCTGTCTGTCTGGAATCTGATCTAATCGGTTTCTGCTCGTCGTTGTTACATCTGTCATTCCCAGCGTAACAGCTAGCCCTTCTTGAGGGGAGGGCGAGGGACGCAGGTGCTACGCCACGGATATGTCTGGGTTATCAGCGCGCACCACTCAGAATACGCGCACGTCGGGAGACATGGTGGCAGACAGCGTCTGCCGAAGGAAGTCCGACAGCACTTCCAGTTGCCGCGCGGCACTGGCAGTCATTGAAGCATTCGTCTCTCCGTAAAGCGACGGCGAATATCAGCCGGTGAGTGGGACACAGGCCCGGTTGACGCCTGAGAAAGATAAGCGGAGTGGCGCTATCCTCAATATCAGCCAGTCAGTGGGACACAGGGCCAGCCTTACACCTGCAAAACATAGCCAAAGGCGTCATAATAAATGAGAAGCTACACCATGAACCATACATAGGTGCGGCATCTGAGAGCCGCAGTATACAGGCTATTCTGAAGCTCCCAACAATGACTACCGTGCGACGACAACTGGCACCCTCTCTCTCTCTCTCTCTCTCTCACACGCACGAACACACACACACACCCACACACACACACACACACACCCACACACAACACACACCACACACACACACACACACACACACAAACACAACACACACACACACACACACACCACACACACACACACACACACGGACAGAAAACCTGAGGAAACGTGCTTCTTAAGACACCCAGTGACATTCGATTCGGTCTCCTGTGGTCATGTCATGGTGCTCTAGGCTAGCCTTGGAAATAAGTAGTAGATATGATGTTGGTAAACAGTCCATTACCACCTGGCATGGAGAGCATGACAGTGTGCGTGCTTCGTTTTCTTCTTCTCTAAAGCTAATTACATGTGAGAAAATACATAATCAGTCACTTTCTATTCCCACTAATGTGTCCAAAATGTTGTAAGTCATCTTAGTGAGACATATATATATATATATATATATATATATATATATATATATACGTATATATATATATGTATATATATATATATGTATGTATATATGTAAAAATATATGCATGTATATGTTATGGGTGACATCATTTTGCAACAAATATATATTCATATAGGAAATATACCTGCAAAGATAGTATGCTGTTATGTCGAAAAATATGGTTTGCATTTCCTTACTTGCGAATATGATATACAACATTTGCATTTCGCTCGGACTATGGGATAAAGGCCATACAAAGCTCAAGTGCTAAGTCAAATCATGTAGTAGGATCGACTTTCTTAGTGAAACGTCTTGTTTGAAGGAGAGTGCATCCTCACATTCAGGAAAACGGAATGGTGAGTATAATCAGCAATGAATTTAAGTTGAATGTAGACTTACAAATTTTAGCCGATACGGCAGCGCTGATGACCACCACCCCTAAGAGCACAACGACGGGCTTCATGTTGATTGTTGTGGCTCTTCGCTGTGCTGACCCCGTTTTATACTGTTTACCTGTGCAGGCAGACCACAGCAATGACAGCTGGCCACGTGACTCAGATCAACTGCGACGTTCCTTTGGTGCCGGGGGGAGGGGGGAGGGGGTATCGATGTTGTGACAGAGCAGAGGGGATGGAAATGCGGTTCGTTAAAGGTCAGCGTGATGTCAAAAAGTAGCCAAGATGGCGGACGTTTCACCATGCGCCTCAAATATCACTGGATCGATACCCGTCACGACGAGATGGTCCTGTCATCCATCAGAGGAGACTCAAATATCACTGGGGCGATACCCGTCACGACGAGATGGTCCTGTCATCCATCAGAGGAGGCTACCGCCGCTCTGACTCACGCAGAAGGTCACCTATGGATGCTGTTCAAATGACCAGAATGTTTTAATATTCACAGCCCCGAACTATATGGTTATACAGTTAAAAATTCACGAAGAAAGGCATGCAAAGAAAGAGGGAGATATATAGCTATATATAGGAGATATATAGCTTCAATCGGAGAAACGATCAGCAGAAGGGGCGTCAATTACATTTAAATAGTCACCAACCCTGTTCGAAGAAGCTCAGATTTTGCTTAGGTTGTGGTTGCCACATCTTATGAAACCGCTAAAAATGTAAGGCAGACCTTACAATTTAGCTACTTTTAGCTTTTTTCCTCGCCTCACCAGCACATTCGGCAATCTCTTCCGTGACTCTAAAATGGCAAACGCTACGATACAATGGCGTCACAATTAGAGAGCTTTAATGAAAAAGTGATGAGCCTTCCATGAAAGCTTTGGAAAGAGACAGTATGTACACATCAATGGAGCGTTCAATGGAACTTCTGCCCTATGCTTTTACTGGGGAGGTTCAGTTGAAATCATGAAGAACAGGAGACATTCTGTAACATTAGGGCAGAAACTCAAAGCATTATTATGCAGTGCTCTTGTTAGCATTGCACACTAAAAATGGGTTCCTGAATTGAGTGAATGTGCTCATTTTCTCATTTTGCTAATTTTGTTTTGCCAGTTCAGTATGTTGTGTGGATAGTTAAACAAATTATGTCAAGTAATAATCAGTACGCTTGAGCCGCAGGTGTGGGGACTGGAAATTGTGTAGGATACTCACAATGATGTTCACAGGGTTATGCTCAAAATGCCATGGGTGATTTCCCCGAAATATTGGAAAATAATTGTAGAACAACCTCTACACTCCACGTTGAGGCACGCTACACTCCACGTTAGGTTTGCCGCGTTGACAGGAGCACAGCATAATACTGTCTTGTTATAATTGGCAGGTCTTGAGAGTTCACCTGACCATGTTTTTGGAAGTTTCAAAGGTGGAACGCTCTCTTTAAAATGGGTTAAGGCCCCGTTCAGAAATGCGAATTTGCGGGGGTGGCTTGCCGGCCCCAAAAACTCACGAAAATTGACATCCCCGCTTACAGGGTGATGTAACTGGGCATGTTAATCTGGAATGCAAATGATGAAACAAATTCATGGTAAAACGGCAGGCTTTAATGCTTGAAATCTTAGTAAGTTATTCCTTTTTGAACATTTACCACATGTTATAAGAAGCCTAAGATGGTACCTGAACTAGCGACGAGTCATTCTTACCTGATGTTTGGCTTCACGGATGGTATTGCGAGGGAAGTGCCTCCCTCGGAGGGAGACGAGACCACTCGCGCTGTGGCGCTGTCGGCCCGCGTTCATTTGGTTTGGATTAGGGTCGTCATGGCTATCGGTGACCAGTTCAGGGCTGTGTGATGAAAGAGAGTGGATAGGGGTTGGGCGAGCCCTAACGTACAAGAAAGATTTTTGTTTAAGAGTCCCAAGCTACGTTGATTCACGGTCGGAACAAGGATCGTTCGCCACCGACTGACGGTTGTCAGTATGGAGGTTGTTTTTCTGCTTGGAAGCTGATGTGCCAGCATTCAGGCTTCTGTGTCTGTGTGAAAGTGGTTTATCCACCTTTCAAATAGTTGCCATTCTTATTCTCCGTTGCCACTCTTAGGTGATACGTTTCACAATAGGACATGGCTTTCATAAGCTGAACAGCTCCAATTGTTTCACTCACTTATCACACAGGGGTGGCAGCAATGCTGGGCACACAGGAAAAAACACCGCGACTTGGCAAAACTTTATGGATAAAACCGCAGCTGGTCCTTGGAAAGTTGAACACACAAGAAAATACCGAATCATGGCTTATGTATATTTCTGAATCTCCAAGCTCTGATCACCGTGCACATATTATTCACTGAAGCGCTGATCTTGCAATATCTGCCGTGCGGCCGACCGAGTCCGGCTGTCTCTGATAGTCGCTACATCCGGCTGCCTCCCGACCAGGCTGCTAGCTCTTCGTGGGGCCAGCGAAGACGCAGTAGGACTTCCATGGCTTCACCTGACTGACGAGCGTACAGACACTGAACAAGGGACACACAGGGTTGCACGGCGGCAGGCAGACGTCGCCCACGAAGGTCGGACAACACCTCCAGGTGCCTTTGTGGTGACTGAGGTTGCAGTCGCAGTCGGTGCTGCACAGAGTTCTTGGGAGAGAAAACGGCGAGATGAATGTGGGACACTGGCCTGGCCTGTTGAGGCCTGAAACAGAGACACGTTAGAGGTCGGCACCAATGAGTCACCACGTCGACGAGAGCTAGAGGAGGTCATCAACCAATGCTTCGATGACGTCATGCCACGTCACGTCATCAATGCCAATGTGTCGTCAAGGAGGTTATCAACAAATACGTCACGTGCTGAGCGACATTTTCTTTTGGATGCGTCAGAACAACATTACAAAGCTTAAAGCAAGGGTGATGCATTTCGAATGATCTGCAAGAGACAGCTGCAAGGTCTTGACCAGCTGGCATATGAAAATGATCATTTTGAGATACCTGGAAGACATGATACACGAAAGGAACGATACAGGAAAACAATGGTCTAGAGGGGGCGCTATTTCGACTTATATAACTGGCCAGAAGTGCACCATCACACGTTTGGTGCCATATTAAGCTGGATTCGCAGAGTAAAGCTTTGTAGGTAACTTAAATCTATGTGGGTCCAAAATACCCGAAACGGACTCTTGAGGCCAGCATGTAGTCAACCTGAAGTATAGAACGTCTCGTTGTCTTTTGGTGTCATGAGGTCAACATCCAGTCTGGAGTATTCGTAATGTTTGGGGGTGAGGAGCAAAGGCAAACTTGAAGGAGCCAAAAAAATAAGTTTCTCCAAGCAGTAGACATAAAGCCTTGTACAACTCACTCAGCGCAAGGCAATAACTGGGATGGATGAAAGGTCATACAAGGTCATCATAAGTCACTAACGCAGGTTGACATTTGTTATGTCACTGGTCCATCGAAAGTAATCTTTGTGAATATAGACTATGATTATATACGTAGGTCGTGCCTCATAGTCCATACGCCATCCGCTGATGAGAGTGATGTGAGACAGGTCATGCGTGGTTGTTGCAGCGATAGCTACGTACGAATTCACATCGCTGTCTTAACGAGTCCGCCGTTATGCCCTAAACGTCACGCTAGGCTTGCGGCCCTCTTTTATATTATTGCGGCCCTTAGTTTATATTTCAAAATAGACAGCTGTATGTGAGAGAATATGTGACTATGGCCGAACTGAGTTACCAGAAAAGGCTTGAATATCATTTCGAACCGCGTGGCAGGTAGGATTTTCAGTAAAACCTGATGTTAAAAGGAAAGAGATTTCTGACATACAGAAAACGGAGTGCAAGTATGACCGGCGATGAGTGAACTTTCCAGACTTACAAACTTTTGCAAATACGGCCAGACTGAGGGCTACCACTCCCAGCAGCACGAGCATGGACTTCATGTTGAATGTGCCGCTCCGCTGTGCGGGGCGCGCTTTATACAGTCCGCCTGTACAGACAGGCAACACCAGCGACACCTCGATTCAGGTCAGCTGTCACATTCCTGCGGCTCAGACGCGAACGACGTGACCATGTTGTCGTGGAAAGCAAAGGTCAGCATGATGTCATGCCGGAACGGAGCGTCCGTCGGTGGCGGGTGTTGCGCTAGACGGTTTAAATGTCACTGGGCAGATCGATTGCTGCTCATCACGCTTTGGGGGCCCTTCCAATTCAGCATTTCATGCATCGCCTAAGAACAGGCCGTTTGGCGCATTTATCGTGAGTATATATGTATATATACACATATATACATATAAATGCATATATATATATATATATATATATATATAGATATCAATGATAACATTTCATTTTTTGGAACAAGTAATGGCTTCCTCTCTAACCCCAGTGAAAGTACTATCAACAAATTACACTTTTCGATAGATGAAATCTAGATGCAATCTTGGCTTTTTAAGGCTCAAAAAAAGCTGGTGATAACGGTTACTTACGGAACTTTCTTCGAGATGGCGGCGACCTGGTGACAGCAGTTAAGGCATGGAAGGTTTTTGGCTTGGCACATAAAAGACACTTGGCACATAACAGATCTGGCACATAGCACGTAAAAAAATCAAATGTCATTTTCATGTGCAGCGGTGTTGGGCGCTCTGTTGCAGGACGTTGGCGATACGTGCGAGGCTTCTTGTATTGACCGTGGAGATTCTTGCGAGCCATATGGCGCTCGTGGAGCTGAAAACATGGATCATAGGTGGAAATCTGGCAAGTGCGTTGTTTTTGGTTGCAAAACACGAAAGCCGTTGACGCAGATACCATCTTCTTTTGACTTCCGCGGAATCCAAGCCGGTTTGCGGAAATCTGTGCGATAAAAATCAGGATGAATGCTACAGAATTGGGCGAAAACTTGTTTTACGTATTCATAATGTAAGCTTTGTACCCAGCTCTGCCACCGGATTTGCACCGGTACGGCTTGATGCAGCCAATTGCTCACCTGGTGGATATAAGTACGTTGTTATCTTTGTAAAGAAACTTTGATTGTGACAACAACATTATGTTTTTTTTCTTGTAACATACATAACTCAAAATTACAATGTGGTTAATCGGGCACCTGACCATGAAATAAGCTATCGCTAAAGTTTGTTCCATGGCGGAATGCAGTTGTAGCTTGCACAGCACTTACAGTCCGGGCAGTTGATGATGTCATGGTACGAGCAATGACTTATGGTATGTTTGATTGTCTGTCATGCTCCTACCACAAATTGCTCGCCTTGTATTTATGTGTTTCTTCAGTCTCGGCCCACGGTTTTGGTGCAGCAGCCGGCAGGGGCTTTGATGAAACATGACTTGGAATTACAATACATGAGGGCTTCGTCCATGTTCGCTTTGATGGACTGATGATCCTGATGAGATATTGCAATGTAGCGCGTCTTTTAAGGGGCATGGTCCTCGTTGCCGTGAAACGTCCCAGATATTTCAATAGGTGGTGTTAAATTCGTTGTTTTGGGGACGGTGCTTTTTTGGTGGCGTATTTATTGTAATGAAAATGCACTGTCAATTAAATTTGCGGATTTGGGGGCTGTCCATACAAATGTACCAACATGTTTCCTTTATTATTCACTCAGCAGGCCAGGTGAAAGTGGCTCCGGTTCAAAGTGGCTCCGGTTCAAAGTAGCTCCGGTTCAAAGTGGCTCCGGTTCAAAGAGACTCCGCTTCAAAGTGGCTCCGGTTCAAAGCTAGCTTCTGTTTCAGGATTTTTGAATGGGGTGAAAAATGTCCCCGCATTCGTCGGGGGGGGGGGACATTGGGTCATCCCAGTAACAAATCCGATCCCTAATATGGATTCACCTCCCCCGAAATTCCACTTTCTTCTCGGACTTATGGCACTTGGTATTGGCACTCAAGGCACTTATGGCATTTCGTGACCAGATGGAAAGTAACAGAAAATGTTGGCCATTTGGCTGCGACATACGATGGGCAAGAACGGGGTCAGAACAGCCTCGAGTGAGGGGGTGGTGGCGATTGGGTGGAGGGTTCGCGGTACCTCGCCGTTTTGGGAGGGAATGCGGCCGGGTGCGGGGGGGGGGGGGCATCTTCTGCACTACATTTTAAAGTTATGAAAAGGCATCGGCTATAACTGCGTTGCC